TCATCCATGCCTCCGATGTACGGTCGGTAGAGCGCGTGATCGTGTTGTAGTAGTCCGCATCTCCCTCGTTTGTTGACACCTCGTGTTGCTTGGCGTTCTCCTGCATCGTCGAAGTTACGCTGATGCTTGTAACGCTTCGGCTTCTGGTAGAATCGCCTCCAATGCATGTGCCGTAGGGTCGCTAGTGAACGAATACTTGCCGGATTTGAGGTTAATTACTCCTCAATATGTCAAGCATCGTGACATGCACGGAAATTTTTCCACGCAGGTCATTAACACATGGAATCGCGACGCATGATTGGTGTGTCGCCTCGTGAGGTCGATGTTGAGACTGCTTCAATCAATCACTTCGGATGGCTGAGATTCTTGATGAAGACGAATCGTTCAGCTCCTGTTACGAAGTAGTGTCTCGCTGGCCTTGACGAGACGGGTTCACTGCGTCGTCGTTGCGTGCGAAATCTGCTCCTTTGCAGCAACTTGATGTTGGGAATATTGCAAGAGAAAACGGCTACTTCTCTGCAATCCCATAGGTTGTCGATCAAATCTATGAGATGAAGTATCTCATGGATGGAGAACACCCAACGAAGATGACTTCGTCAAAATAAATCGATCGTTATCGCCACCAGTCAGAAGATGCGTCGATTGTGCAGTCGCTGGTCACGAATGTTGTCTCCATGGTGATGCTTTCCCATAGTGTAGTCTCCGCTGCATTCGTGCCGTTGATTCCGCAACGATCCAACGATCCACATTCTCCTGTCAGTTTTCTGCTTGCAGCTATTACCAAGTAGGTAATACTCTGGCAGATTTCTAACTCTGTAGATGATTTGTGCACCATATTCGTCACCAACTGAAAGATTTCGACAACGGTGTCGAAGGCGGCTGATTTCTTGTTCTGCGCGTCATTCTCCCTTTATGCAGAAATCTCGCTCCATCTCGTCCGTTGAAGTAGACGTTGATCCGACGGTCCAAACTCCAAGCGATCTGAAGATATTACTGAGACGCGTTCAGCAGCTTTCGGTGCACGGATCGACTCGTTTCCTGCAGCAATTCTCGGTCGTCGATGTCGGCTGTCAAACGAGCGGACGCCCCGAAGAACTTCGCGGCTTGCGAGGTCTCGTTCCCATTCGCGCTGAACTCGAACTTGCTCAGAAGGTCGATCTGAAGCGTCGAATCTCCATCGGACGGATGTCGTCGGTCGCAGCTCCGCACATTTCCGCGCAACTCCAAGTGTCGTCGCGAACTGCGAACTCCTCGGAATGTCGCAGGGAGTGTTCCGCCAGAATTGACGCGATCGCGAGGTCGAGGCTGTTTGCCCCCGTGAAAAATCGGCACCGTCGATGCAGTCCATCGAACAGTCGGCGAAGCATCTCGCCTTCGAGGGGGACCCCAGGTGCAACTGCGCGAGGTTAGTCGAAACTTAAACGAAAGTGCATTGTACTTACAGGAATTGAAGTTTCGACTCCGTCCTCGGCGTGCTCCTGGGGGCTAGCGGTTAAGCGTTGAGCTGAAACCTTGGCTCTGATTACCAAGTGTCACAGGATCGAATGTCCTGAGGAAAGGTTGCTCAATGTTGCACTATCAATCAGTACAAGGAGCTTTTATACTTCCAGATTACATCAGGTAACCAGGTTTATCCTATCCAAAGGGAATAGACCCTTCTAGAAATAGAATCACCCTGCGTATAGCCACGCGAGGCTATTGGCTTTAAGGGATTACGGCAAGATTACGCTAGATATAGTGCGCCAGTACATCCCGAGCCTAGTCGGTAATATAATTATAATAACTTGATAAACCAAAGGATAATGGAAAAGGAGGAATAGGAAACCAAATGAGATAAGATAAAGACCAAATGAATCAGGATAAAAAGAGGAATGAGATAGAAAGAAATATGGAAAGGGAAAATTGGTATAACGGGGTCGTACTCTCACACGTGGGAGCGGCGGCTGCGTCTTGGA